GTTGCTATTAAAAAAAAAAACAGAACTAAACTGATAATACTACAAAGCCAACTGAAGAAATTCAATTTCAAGAGGAAGATGAAGAATATTTTTTTGTAGCTCAAAAATCTCTAAAGAGAAGTAAGAAGATTAGCAAAAGAAATTTGGAGCTCATAACGTCAAAAAATCATTACACAAGATGAAGATTATGATGATGTAGTTCCTTTCACAAGACGACAGATAGAAAATTTTCCCATGAATGAAAATCCAAAAATCCTCGTAAATTAAACCTTTGTGGTTTCAAAATATTGTTCAATGCATGTACAACTATTGTTTATAGTGAACGTGATGCAACTTGTGGATCTTAGATTCAGTGTTATGAGGGGGAGAAATTATTCTGTGTGCGCGGAATCCGGACAGAAAGTTTCCGTCCGGACTGTGAGCGTACATAGTTTGTATATTGTGTACAATTTTATACACAGTTTAGTTCTTTTTGTATACATTGTGTGTGTGTGTGCACTTATAGTCCGGACAGAAATTTCCCGTTCGGACTCCGCACAGAATAATTTCTCTATATGAGGACCCAAAGGATCATGGAGAAATGCGTGATAATGCACAACCTACGACTCGATCTTTCAACTTATTAGACAATTGCGGTGAAGTTTAGGCCAACCAAGTGAAGATTGTGGTGGTCGTGTTATTGAGTAGGTCGATAAAAAATAGGTCTATGTTGCACCAAAAATGCTGCAAACAATAGTTACTCTCAAAGATCCCATTGTTTAAAGTAGGCTTACTATCAAATGAATTAAATTACCTTATATTGTATTTATGATCTTAGTTGTGAATGAAATTGGTTCAAACTCAAATCCTAGTGCAAGCTTTAATTTCATTTATGAAGGACAATGTAAATAATGTTGGAGAAAAAAATGATAATATCATGATTAAAAAAATGTGAATATGTACAATTCTTCTCTAATTGAAATTTGATATATGAATTAATATATATTAATACTAATCATAAATGATTAAAATTTCATAATTAACATAAATTAAATATCAAATAAGTAATATAAATGAAATATAAAAGAATTAATATAAATAGAGCATCAAATAAAAATATAAAAATACACATTAATTTTTTTTCATTTAAATTTATAAATAATCAAATTGACCTTATTACCGGCGCTCTGCAATATCTTACTATTACAAGACCCGATATAGCACACGCTGTCAACACTCTATCACAGCATCTGCAAGCTCCGGAACAAATTCATCTTTATATGCTCAAGAGGCTCCTCCGGTATATCAAAGGAACCATCAATTTTGGGCTACCTATCAGCAAATCCTCACTCACTCTTCGCACCTTTTCTGACGCCGACTGGGCAGGTGACCCAGTTACGCGAAAATCTACATCTGGTTTCTGCACCTTTCTCGGCGACAATATCATTTCCTGGACTGCCAAGAAACAAACGACGGTCTCTAGGTCGTCCACCGAATCCGAATACAGAGCCTTAGCTGCGGCCACAGCGGATACTATTTGGCAAAAGAGGCTTCTTTCTAATTTTCAAATCATTCACGATGAACCAGTTGCTGTCTTCTGCGATAACACGTCGGCGATTGCTCTGGCGAACAACTCTGTGTTTCATGCACAAACGAAACACATCGAGATCGACCAGCGCTTTATCAGGGATCATATTCAGCAGAAAATAATAAACCTGCTACCTATCAGCACAGTAGACCAACTTGCGGACATCTTCACCAAACCACTCCCTACTCTTCGCTTCAAGCAACTGCGACTCAAACTGACGATTAACGAAGAATCGGCAGTTTGCGGGGAACTGTTAACACCTAATTAATATGATTAGTGCTAATAATTAGTTACCGCATTTCTTGTTCTCCAATGTCTTTCTTACACGTGTAAAGCAAACCTCTTACTGCCTATATATATAGGTAGCTGTACTTGTCATAAGGCATGAAAAACACTTTATCTCTGTTTGTCTTCTTCCATTCTTGTCTTCTTCCCTGTTCTTCTTCTCGAACTCCGACGAGTAGTAGAACTTAAGTTTCTACATGGTATCAGTAGAGGCTTGATCTTGCGACCAAACCTCATTATGGCTTCATCAATCTCTCGTTCCTCCTCTCCTCCACCCCCGACGACAACCGATGCTCATCCGTCTATGCTCAAACATGGCCTATACCCCTCTCTCAAATTCATCATCGGTCATCTAAAAACTCTGGTTCCTCACCACCTGTCGTCGAATAACTATCCCATATGGCGTCATCAAATCATCAAGCTGTTTAAAGCAAACGGATTTGATATTTTTCTTGAAACCCAATCGTTCCAAGATCAAGAACTGTGCGACTCTCCATACACCGAAACTTCCTGGGCTTTCACCAATCAAAATCTTGCAGCGGCTATCTGCTCTACCATATCGGAGCCTGTATTACCTTATGTAATACATCTTGAATCCACTTATGCTATCTGGCAAGAACTTCAAATCAGATTTCAGTCAGCGAATCGATCCAAGGTAATGCAACTTAAAAATGAGTTGAACAACATTACATTGAAGAACATGTCGATGCAAAATTATCTCATAGAAATCAAAAAGATAGTCGACAACATTGCCTCTGTCGGATCTTCTCTTGACACTGAGGATATTATCCTCCACATCCTGAACGGATTGCCACCGTCTTATCAATCCTTCAAAACGACTGTCAAAACGATGCAATCATCCCTCAGTCTCGACAACTTCTACGCGATGCTTATCAGTGAAGAAATTCATATCCAGGCTGACTCTCTGCGTCTTTCTCTTCACCAAGATCAGCAAACTGCTCTCTACGTCAACCGTAACAGAGGCCGACGCGGCCGAGGTCGACAGCAGACGTATCCTTCCTCTGCATCAAAACAGACCACCAAATCCTCTACTATCTGCCAAATCTGCCAGAAAAGAGGTCATTCTGCCGATGTTTGTTGGCATCGTCACAATGCTAGCTACATCACGCCCAAACCGCAAAATGATAACAACACGGCTCTATTCACGAACAATGCAGAGTCCTCAGAGGATTGGTATCTTGATTCAGGTGCCTCAACGCACATGACTAACAAGACTGATCATCTCACTCAAAGCTCGGTATATCAAGGTAAAGACCAGGTAATGGTTGGGGATGGTCGCTCTCTCCCGATCGCTCACTCGGGCACGGGAATTCTCCCGACACCAGATCGTAAGTTACTTCTCTCTAATCTTCTTCATTTACCGGACATATCGCATAATCTTATATCTATTTCCAAACTGGTGTCTGCCAATCAAATCTCCATTACTTTTACCCCTAACGGCTTCTCTCTTAAGGATTTGCAGACTAATCGCACTATACTCAGTGGTCCGTGTAGAAATGGGTTATATCCCATTACGATCCCGCCAAGGCACCCGACAATGCAAGCAATGCCCGCTGTTCAAATCAAGAACATCAACTGGCACGCAAGATTGGGTCATCCTCATCACCGGACACTTCAGCAAATCTCCAAAATAAATCCTAGCATTTACATTTCATATAAATCGTCTTCTTGTATGTCCTATAATGTGTGTAAGAGTCATAAACAACCTTTTGATAATGCTGTTCATAAAGCAACTAAACCTCTGCAATTACTTCATTCTGATATCTGGGGTCCGTCCCCGGTCACGGCAGCGCATGGATATCGTTATTACCTTCTCATAATTGATGATTACTCCCGTTACTGCTGGACATTTCCTATGTTTCTTAAATCTGATGCTACTAACATTTTCAAAAATTTCATTACTCTTATCGAAAATCAAACAGAACACAAAATTAAACTTATTCGCACTGATGGAGGAGGAGAATACATGAATACGCAGTTTAAAAACTCTCTCGCAACCAAAGGTATTCAACATCAGGTGTCCTGCCCTTATACTCCCAAGCAAAATGGAGTGGTCGAGCGCAAGTACGGGCACATTATCACTACGGCCAGAACTATGCTACACTCCTCGTCTATACCACCTATTTATTGGCCAGAAGCGGTTCAAACGACAGTGTATCTTATAAACAGGCTTCCGTCGCCTACTACTCGTCAACAAACTCCGCTGCAGCTCATGTTTAATATAACACCGGATTACACACTCCTGTGTCAATTCGGCTGCGCGTGTTTTCCGCATTTACCACAGCAAGCTTATAATAAACTTCAACCGAACTCTACTCTTTGCGTTTTTCTTGGTTACTCAGACAATCACAAATGCTACAAATGCCTCAATCGAATTACTAATCATATAATTATCTCTCGACATGTCAAATTTAATAAAAATTTCTTTCCTTTTTAGAAGCATCTCACCACTGCTGCTCCACTCAAGTCGGCTCTTCCGACCCCGTTACTTCTTCCTACGTCCAAAGCCAGTGATATCACAATTCGTCCATCTCTTCCTCCGGGTCATTCCACGCAGTCACCGGAAGTCACAACTTCGCATATTCACAACCAGACTAATCCCATAATCAACCAGCCCACTACGGTAAATGAAGCTTCTCCCCGTGAGCACCAAAATCAGCACAAAATGATAACCAGGTCCAAAACTGGCTCTCTCAAACCCACGTGCAAATTGAATTTACTTCACGATCTAGCCCCTGTCGAACAAAATGCTACTCCCACCAACTACACTGCAGCCATCAAATTCTTTGAATGGCGCCAAGCCATGGAAGAAGAATTTGCGGCACTCCAAAAGCAGGGCACATGGACACTGGTTCCTCAACCACCAAATATATCTGTTCTGGGCTGCCGATGGACCTTCCGCAAGAAATTCAATTCAGATGGCACGGTGGCGCGATTCAAAGCAAGATTAGTTACGCAAGGTAACAGACAAGAGCATGGTTTGGATTACGAAGAAAATTTTAGTCCCATAGCGAAACTTCCCACGATTCGCGTCCTTTTCACCGTCGCTATGCACCATGGATGGCCGGTGTAGCAACTTGATGTATCAAATGCGTTTCTCCATGGCAACCTACAAGAAACAGTCTTTATGCAGCAACCTAAAGGTTTTGAGGACAATATAAATCCTGAGTACGTCTGCCACTTAAAGAAGGCCATCTACGGGCTCAAGCAAGCCCCAAGGCAGTGGTATACCACATTCACTACTCACCTGACTACTCTCGGATTTCAGTACAGCAAGGCTGATCCCTCCCTCCTGGTATACTGTCGGAACAACATTCAAATGTTTCTTCTTGTTTACGTCGACGACATTCTCATTACCGGGAATAACACCAAGGCTATCTCCGATCTTCTTCATCAACTCCATCTCAAGTTCACCATGAAGCATCTCGGCACTGCAAATCAATTCCTTGGCATTCACATTAAAACTCTACCAGATGAGTATTTTCTCTCGCAATCTACTTATGCACTTTCCTTGCTTCAACAAATTAATCTTGACAAATGCAACTCTATGTGTAATCCTTCCTTCATGAAACAGCCAAAACAAATCAGCCCCGTCAACACTCTACCGGATGCCACAACCTACAGGAGAATTACCGGCGCTCTGCAATATCTTACTATTACAAGACCCGATATAGCACACGCTGTCAACACTCTATCACAGCATCTGCAAGCTCCGGAACAAATTCATCTTTATATGCTCAAGAGGCTCCTCCGGTATATCAAAGGAACCATCAATTTTGGGCTACCTATCAGCAAATCCTCACTCACTCTTCGCACCTTTTCTGACGCCGACTGGGCAGGTGACCCAGTTACGCGAAAATCTACATCTGGTTTCTGCACCTTTCTCGGCGACAATATCATTTCCTGGACTGCCAAGAAACAAACGACGGTCTCTAGGTCGTCCACCGAATCCGAATACAGAGCCTTAGCTGCGGCCACAGCGGATACTATTTGGCAAAAGAGGCTTCTTTCTAATTTTCAAATCATTCACGATGAACCAGTTGCTGTCTTCTGCGATAACACGTCGGCGATTGCTCTGGCGAACAACTCTGTGTTTCATGCACAAACGAAACACATCGAGATCGACCAGCGCTTTATCAGGGATCATATTCAGCAGAAAATAATAAACCTGCTACCTATCAGCACAGTAGACCAACTTGCGGACATCTTCACCAAACCACTCCCTACTCTTCGCTTCAAGCAACTGCGACTCAAACTGACGATTAACGAAGAATCGGCAGTTTGCGGGGAACTGTTAACACCTAATTAATATGATTAGTGCTAATAATTAGTTACCGCATTTCTTGTTCTCCAATGTCTTTCTTACACGTGTAAAGCAAACCTCTTACTGCCTATATATATAGGTAGCTGTACTTGTCATAAGGCATGAAAAACACTTTATCTCTGTTTGTCTTCTTCCATTCTTGTCTTCTTCCCTGTTCTTCTTCTCGAACTCCGGCGAGTAGTAGAACTTAAGTTTCTACAGTATTTCTCCTCCCCCAACAAGCCATGAAATTATTTTGCGTGGACTCCGGACATAGCTCTATGTCTGGACTCCGATTAAATTAAGACACATAAATTTCTTAAGACCAAATGACCCACTCATTTTTTATGTTTTTTAAATTAAACGTTCCTTGAAAGCTCTCAAATATTTAAGATTTTTGAGGGATAAAACTTTTGGTGCCTATTAAGAAAAAATAAAAAAAAAGAACAACAAGCGATAAAGATAGAGATTAGTTTGAAGGACTTCACATCCTATACAAAGCCAATGAAAAAGGAAGAAAATGCTTAAGCGTAAAGTGTATTTATACCTAATAATTTATTTTCAATATATATTATGAGGTAATGTACGTTTTGTCGAGCTTAGTTTTTCAACAAAAAAATCCGTCGTATAGGAAAATACAACATAATTGTGTTCATTTTTAAGGTATATCAAGTTCTCAAATAAGTCCAAATACTTTAACGATGAATTTATAAACTGGGCATCAATGATTCATGTGTTTTTTTTTTTTTTTTTGATGTTTCACACACATTCACATAGAATGTATTCTTGAAAAAGTTATATCTCGAATGCCGCGAAAACATATGTTTATGTAAATCAACTATGTAAAATTTTATATAAAATGACAATGTCTTGAGTGTTCATTTATTATATAAGATGTAATTAACTAATTATTATGTTTATTCCTCTTTAGTTTATGTGATATTTTGTTTATTTTGATATTGTTTATCGTTGTGTACTGCTATGCACTATTATATACCATTGTGTACTAGCTATGTATTAAATATATTTTGATTTTTAAACTATCATCATGTGCATTTAATTAATTTTTCAAAATTAAATAAAACTTGATAGATGTCTATAAAAGTACTTATGTAAAAGTAATTATGAATTTATTATACGATATATATATATACGATTATGAATTTATTATACGATATATAAAATTTATTTTGAAAAATAAATTATAGGTTGTCTAAAACATTAAAACTATACACACACGCACAAAAGAAAATTTAAAGATTATTTGGAGGATAAACTCTGTTTTCTTTTGGTTGCAAAATAATTGAATAGTAATAAGAATGGAAGTGAATGTGACAAAATAGAAAACATGGGATATCTAATGGCTCACCAACTACATTCACTTCATTCAAGTCAAAATTTTATAAGTTTATTCTTCATAGGTGCTATTCCTTGAGATTGTTTGTGTGGTGGATGTTTTTTTCTTCAACAAGATAAATTTCAAGATTCTAGCTTATTTTTTGGCCATAACATTTTATTGTTAAGTTTTGTAGGGGACGAATAGCAAAATTAATGGGAGATGAAGAATTTGGTTAACAAATGAATATGTAGATATTATTTTTTGTTGAAAGATTTAGATTTGTTGAATTGATTTTTTCCAATAAAACCTTCGAACTTTATAGGAAAGAAAGATGTTCACCACAAAAAGTTCATTAATATTAACAATACACAATAATACACAACAATACATGGATGTACACAGCGGTGCACAGTAAGCACGAAAGAGAAAATGCATAATAATTGCATTTGAGAGAATAAATAAACGTTTAAAAAAATTATCATTTCACATAAATTTTACGTAGTTGATTTACAGAAGCATGCATTTTTGCAGCATTTAACATATAAATATTTCAAGAATCAGTCTAAGTGAATGTGTGTGAAACATCACAAAAATACAAAAATCATTGCTGCCCAATATATAAAATTTTTATTGAAGTATTTTGGCTTATTTGAGAACTTGTCATGCCTTGAAGGTCAACACATTTCTATTGTATTTGAATTTACAACATATTTCTCTATTGAAAAATTAATCTGAACAAAACACACATTTTTTCATAATATACATTGAAAATGAATTATTAGGTAAGTAAAATAAACCTTACTCTCAGATTTTTTCTTATTTTTCAATGGTTGTAGAGAATTCAAATTATTTCAAATCAATCCCTTCTTCATCGATTGTTTCTAGAAATTTTTTCTAAATAGTCACCTAAAATTTTATTCCATAAAAGTCTAAATATTTAAAAACTTTCTTTTAAAAACATAAAATAATTGGGGATTTCAAAATTTTCATAACCGGATTGGGATTAAGAAATCTACTGTCTTAATTTAATTTTAAAATTTTAACATACATAACACCTTAAATTATAGTATATATATATATTTATCATTTAAATATTAATATTTACTTATACAGCACCTTAAAAACCCTTTCCTTTTTCTCATATTTACTACCATAGTTACATCCCGTCAAAAAATCCGCCGCCCCGAACCTGGCTTTTGCTGTGCGCGGGAAGAAAAATGCTTCGTCTTCGGCATTGGCTTTGTGCGCGAAGAAGAAATCCTTAGCCTTCGTTCGAGCGTCTGTCTACCCCGTTTTAAGCCTGCAACCCTCGACTTCAGCATCGCGTTCAAGCTTCTGTCCTTGACGACGTTTGAAATAAACTGATTAGTTCAATTGAATCGCGTTCAAGGTTTTGTCTTCACCCTTCGTCTTCGTCGCTCGAGTAAGAACCCCGCAATCCTCTCCTTATCCATCCTGCCACCTTATGTATCACTTTCGTCTAAGAAATTTCAGCAATACATAGAATTTCATTGTGCAGTTGCTTAAAATCTAGTGCGAAATGGTTACCGAATACTTGCAGCATTTCTCTCATACTCTTCTAAACCAACTTGAGGTGCAGGTATTCAAAAACATTAAAGCTATCAAACAAACAACAATTACCAGATAATGGCTGCACGATTTAGAATATGTATCGAGGAAGCAAATTTAAAGATCACAACAGACAACATTCGATCGACTCAAACATTAAATTGTTGCACCATTATTCGAGCATATTGCCCTTGCATCAACGAGACATCAACCCATTGTAGCGTTAAGAGAAAATGAAAAATGAAAATGAAAACGAAAACCAAACGAGACAATACTCTTGTATCGACAGCAATAAAGACAAATTCTGAGCGGACGAAAAATCGAACATCAACAGGGCTGACGAGCACAAAACAGCCGATGTAACGAAGAAATGGAGCGGAAAAAATCGAACATCAAGATCGAATGGGGAAGACAAAAAGAAAACAAGCCGATTTAGAGCGACGACGAGATGGAGAAAAAGAAAAACCAAACCTTTCCGACCTAAGGCAGGTCTCGAGCAGCAGTGCGGCAAAATTTCGAGCGAAGAAGATGCGAGTTGACCACGGAGAAGACGGTTTCGGGGGTGTGGCTTTAACTGGATGTAACATAGTGGTAGTATAGATGAGGAGAATGGTTTTTAGGTGGTATATAAGTAAATATTAATGTTTAGATGTTGAATATGTTAATGTTTAAAATTGCATAATCGGGTACTTAGATGTTTTTCGTTCGTGAGGCGAGACGTAAGCCCCAGGGCGTTTTGAGGCGTAAACCTCAAAATCAAAAGATTGCGTAAACATAAAATGATAAATTTTTTATATTCTAATGAGAAAAAAATATAAAACATAAAAAGGCACAAGTTATGAAGTGAAATTAAAATATCCCAATAATAAGACAATATGAAATATAGTTCAACACTTCAACTCAAATTATATCTTTATAACTCGGTACAACTCGGTATTGCTCGGTATTGGTCTTCACAGAGCTGTATTTCTCGTTATTGCCAAGCAATACCGAGCAAATACCGAGTAATACCTCGCAATACGCGAACATAGCATTCCCGGGTTACGGTCCGGGTCAAGTCGTCGGGCTGCGCGGTAAAGAGTAAGAGCACGTGACGATATATTATTGGCGGCCGAACGTAGCTCTACGTCCGGTCAGAGGACATAATAATTGTTTATGGGAGAGAGAGTTGTGGAGCATAGGTTATGACGCGATACAAATATTTCTCAAAATTAATTTGGATTCATGCCGGATAGGTCTGCTATGAAAGCTATACATTTATTGAGAGGTTTGATGAATAAGTATAGAGAGAATAAGGAGGATCTACATATGATATTTTTTGATTTAGAGAAAGCTTATGATAAAGTTTCAAGAGAAGTGCTATAGAGAGTTGTAGAAAAGAAAGGAGTTAATAATGCTTATATTGAAGTGATTAAGGATATGTATGCAGGAGTTGTTACTAGTGTTCAAACACAAGGTGGTTTGATCAAATATTTTCCTATTTCAGTTGGATTACATCTAGGTTCAGCCTTAATCAGCCTTAAGCCCATATCTTTTTGCTTTAGTCATGCATGTTCTTACTAGACATTTGCAAGAGGACGTACCATGGTGTATGCTTTTTGCTGATGATGTTCTTATTGTTGATAAGACTAGAGAGGGAGTTGAAGGTAAACTTGAATTATGGAGGCCAACCTTAGAGTCTAAAGGTTTTCGTTTGAGTAGATCTAAAACCGAATGTATGGAGTGTAATTTAGTAGTAATAGATGTTGTCGGGGGATTGTGACTTGGGGTGATCAATTAATTAATAAGAGTATATGTTTTTGATATCTTGGGTCTCTTGTTCAGAGTGATGATGAAATAGATATATATATATTATTAGTAGAATTGAAGTTGGATGATTGAAGTCAAGGAATGTATCAGGTTTTTTGTGTGTTAGAAAAGTCTCCCTCAAACTTAAGAGAAACTTCTATAAGATGGTGGTGAAACCTGCAATGCTTTATGACGCAGAATGTTGGCCATTAAAAAGAAGCATAATATTAAGTTAGGTGTTGCAGAGATGAGGATGCTCAGGTGGATGAGTGCTTTACTCTTAGAGATATGATACGAAATGAGCATTTACGTGAAAGGTTGAAGTATCTCCAGTGGAAGATAAGATTAGAGAGTGTTATCTTAGATGTTTTTGTCACATAAACTGATGACTTTCTGATGACCCAGTTAAGATAGTAGATGTATTAGATTTGACCTATGTTAAGAAAGGTAGAGGTTCTAAAAAGACATGGCTAGAAAATATTAGAAATGACATTTGTTTATTAGATTTAAATGAGAATTTGACTCTTAACAAGACAATGGAGAAAAAAAATTCATGTAACCGACCCCATATAGTGGTATAAACGCTTGATGATGTTGTTGTTATTTGTTCTTTTACTAGTTTTATTTTCTTCATGAACATAATGTACTTTGTTTATATTTTATAAAATGCTATCTTTGAGTGTTCATTTAGAAGCTTCCTCAAATAAAATCTCCTTTCCTATGCTCGACAAGTTATTTGGTTATAAGCTCGATAATGCTTGATAGATTTACTCTTATATGGGCTCGACAAGGCTCAATAGATTTGTTTGTTTATGGGCTTAATAAGACTTGATATGCTTGTTCATTAGTAGGCTCAATGGTATAGTCATTTGGTAAGCTAATGAACAACCCAATAGAAGAGTTAGTTAATCGCTTGATAAGGTTCATTTATTATTTTATGAGCCGCTCGTTTAAAACTCTATAAGAACAATATGAACTGAACACTTGCGGACCTCAAACCAAGCTCAGTCGGAGATTTATGATTTTAAACAAACCAAACTTGAATACAATTATGTGAATCAGTAGAGGATAACATCAAACCTTTAATTAAATAAGATATAGTTTTTTTTTTTAAATTAAATAAGGCATAATTGAGCTCTAATAGAGCTTTAAACGAGCTTTAATTGAGCTTCTTAATGAGCATGTTTACGAGCTTTAAACGATACCGTTCGTGAATGTAAACAAACAGAACGACTAGCTGTTCAAGTTCATTTATTTAGCAATCGAGTATTTATAAAAAGTGTTCAAGCTCATTCATTTAGCTTATCAAAAGAACATAAATGATCTCTTATTGAGCCGAGCCAGGAGCAGCTAGTCGAACGCTCTGTTCGTTTGCAGTCCAAACTTTAGTGACATTAGCATCCTATTTTTTATTTTTATCAGCGTATTAATAAAGTTGAAGTTAGAAAATCTTTAAAGAAAATGAAGTGAGAAAAATTCGTTGGACCTAATGATATTACAATAGAGCAATTAAAATATCTAGGAGATGAATGAATTTCTTTGCTTATTAAACTTTTTAATTTTATTTTGAAAACTAAAAAGACTTTAGATGAGTGGAAATTGAGTGTGTTGATTCCTATTTTAAAGAATAAAAGTGATGCACAAAATTGTGTGAATTATATAGAAATTAAGTTTATATGTCATACTTTAAAATTATGGGAGAGAGAGTTGTGGAGCATAGATTATCATGTGATACTAATATTTCTCAATATTAATTTGGATTCATGCTTGGTAGGTCTACTATGGAAGCTATACATTTATTGAGAGGTTTGATGAATGAGTATAAAGAGAATAAGGAAGATCTACATATGATATTTTTGATTTAGAGAAAGCATATGATAAAGTTTCAAGAGAAGTGCTATAGAGAGTTGTAGAAAAGAAAGGGGTTAATAATGCTTATATTGAAGTGATTAAGGATATGTATGCAGAAGTTGTTACTTGTGTTCAAACACAAGGTGGTTTGATCAAATATTTTCCTATTTCAGTTGGATTACATCTAGGTCCAGCCTTAATCAACCTTAAGCCCATATCTTTTTGCTTTAGTCATGCATGTTCTTACTAGACATTTGCAAGAGGACGTACCATGGTGTATGCTTTTTGCTGATGATGTTCTTATTGTTGATAAGACTAGAGAGGGAGTTGAAGGTAAAATTGAATTATGGTGGCTAACCTTAGAGTCTAAAGGTTTTCATTTGAGTAGATCTAAAACCGAATGTATGGACTGTAATTTTAGTAGTAATGGATGTTGTCGGGGGATTGTTCCTTTGGGTGATCAACTAATTAATAAGAGTATATGTTTTTGATATCTTGGGTCTCTTGTTCAAAGTGATGATGAAATAAATAGAGATGTTATTAGTAGAATTGAAGTTGGATGATTGAAGTAGAGGAATGCATCAGGTTTTTTGTGTGATAGAAAGTCCCCCTCAAACTTAAGAGAAACTTCTATAAGATGGTGGTGAGACCTGTAATGCTTTATGACGCATAATGTTGGCCATTAAAAGAGAAGCATAATATTAAGTTAGGTGTTGCAGAGATGAAGATGCTCAGGTGGATGAGTGCTTTACTCTTAGAGATAGGATACGAAATGAGCATGTACGTGAAAAGGTTGAAGTATCTCCAGTGGAAGATAATATTAGAGTGTTACCTTAGATGTTTTTGTCACATAAAATGATGGCATTCTGATGACCCAATTATGAGAGTAGATATATTCGATTTGACTTATGTTAAGAAAGGTAGAGGTAGTTTTAAAAAGATTTGGTTAAAAAATATTAGAAATGACATTTGTTTATTAGATTTAAATGAGAATTTGACTCTTAACAAGACATTGGAGAAAAAAAATTTATGTAACCAACCCCATATAGTGGGATAAACGCTTGATGATGTTGTTGTTATTTGTTCTTCTACTAATTTTATTTTCTTCATGAACATAATGTACTTTGTTTATATTTTGTAAAATGCTATCTTTGAGTGTTCATTTAGAAGCTTCCTGGTTGGGCGATAATGGTTAGAGGGACCATGGTTGGACGACAATGGTCAGAGATAGGGGTGTTAATATTTGACACGACCAAAACACTCGTCTTGACCCAAAAATTTCAGATTAGGGTCAACCCATTTAAGAAATGGGTCTGGTTGACTTGGAAACCCGAAACCAAACCAGGTTGACCCGAAAACATCATGTAGCGTTGTTGTCCGCGATTTCATCTGTGTCGTTGTTAGGGCTATGAAAACTGGATTTCAGGTCGTATTCAGTTCGAACCCGAATTTGACCCGACTTCTTTTTGCTAACGGGTCGATTTTTTGAACTCTAACTCGACCCGCTTTGGGTTAGAGTTTACCTGAATCCGACCGCTTCAGGTATGTTTTACTAAAATATTTTTATTTAATTCGATTTATTTAAACCTAAATTGAATTAAGTAAGATTTACTTCAATTAATGTAAAATAAACCAAGCTTAATTCAGTTTGGGCAATATGATTTATTATTTTTTTTGGAAATAACATTTACTTATTTCATAACAATCTTCTAAAATTCTTCTAAATCAATTAAAAATGGTTTAAATCAGGTTGATTTCGGATTTCCGGCTCAACTCGAACTAGTTTTATAAACGGGTTGAAATACTTAACCAGAACCCTAAATTTTCGGGTCGTGTCAAATATTGACACCCCTAGCCGTCATCGACTCATCGTGCCGTCGTTCGTGCCATCGTTCGTGCCATCGTTCATTGCTACATCGTTGTCCATGCCGTCGTCCGCTCTGTCTTCCATATTTTCAGTGTCGTTCGTGTCCCGTTCGTGCTCCAACTCGCTCGAATGAGTGGGTCGGGTCGGGTTAACCTGTAATCAGCGCCGGTCGGGTCCGGGTTGAGATTTTTTATCTCGTTTGCAAAATCAGGTCGGGTTCTGGT